ATTTAATCAAACGTCACAAAGGTAAAAGGAAAAGCAAATGAACAAGAAATATTTCACTTAACAAGATCAAATAAAAGGACTAATGAACTAACCTCGTTGTTTTGTCACCATCTATCACTACTGTAGTGAGCGCAAGTACTTGGCTGTTAGGTGCCGCACGGAATAGAAGCACACCAAGGCGAAGACAAATGAAAGCATCAGCAGCGCAAGCCAACTGAAAGCAACTAATTCAATTAAAATTTTCGCCTGCCATTCGTCCACTGGAAGACTTTATGAAAGGAGTCGTGTTGTAGTAAATGCTATTGACAAAATACATTCCTGCTCCTCCCATTGCAAAACCATAGACATTAGCATTTTAACGAAGGGAACAAACCTTTCGGTTCCATCCCATAACGTGGAACAAATTATAGATGAGAGAGGTGATAAATAAGGCAAATGCACAACCGCTCACGAATCCAACACCTTCGAAGACGAAAGGCGCGAATGCGACCAGTAAAACGATGAACAAACTGAGCACCTGAAATCATCGTGATCGGTTTCCCTTGTGGGAAAGCTGCGAGTATTCGTTATGGGCTGATTTATACGCTCCTAAGCAATGATGAAACACTTGCATCAAAACTCACAGTTTGCATTGACATCATAAAACCAAACGGCTTTTTGTTCAAAAAAGACCAATCAGCATTCGTTTGTGCCGCCTCCATCTGGAACTACTCTGACTGATAACAGCAACTGAGGAGAATGTGGAGGTATAAGCTGACGATGAGCTATATAGCTATCGTTTAATTCCCTGACAACCGAGATGGGCGAGGCAGATCCTATCTAATACCACCTTAAGTAAACAGCTCAATCAAGTAATCGAAATTATCAGAATCATAACTGCAACAAAAAAGTAGCGAGCAGCAATTTATAAACATCACAGAAGTACTGATCGTTTGAACGCTCAGATTCAAAACAGCAACACTTCTATATTGCACTTTTATTACCAACTTCACTTATTGATATCACTCAAATGAGAGGAGATAAATGAATCGCACGGTAAAAAAAAACGAAATAAATTAATGGAGATTGCTGAATGCTTGGAAATGGGCCGAATTCGGGGCGTACACAACACCACGATGACTCATCATCCCAACATGACCAGTAGGTGGAGATGACGGAGATAAGAACTCCATTGGGAATATTTTTTTCATACAATTCGAATCAATACACAATTCGTAGAGATATATACAGACAAGCTCTATTATCACAACGCACGATCAATAACAATAAACAAACCGCGAATGACGTTACGTAAACAAAATTTCTACAGTACTGGCACGTGGTGGTACCTGTGGCATAAAACTCATGGTGGACAAAACCTTAGCGAGTGACTCGTCATGATAGTAGCAGAGAGCTCCATACGCAGTTTTTTTTACGTCTGCTTCATAATAAGATTTCGAGAATGGAATTAATTCTTTGGAGTCTTCACAAATGTTGTGGGTATCATGAATATGGGTTTTTTTTTAAATCTTAAGGTAGATAGATAATAGAAGGGCACTACACAAAAGTTACCTCAGCTTTCCTCTTTGAGCGCTTTTTCCGAGATGACTAAGAGTCGTCATGAAAAGGATAAAAAAGGAAAGGATAGTCTTTTCAGTCACCACTGTAGAACTCTTAACAAAGAGCCTTCGATTGCAACTTATCTAAGCCATAGTGATCGAATAGCTTGGGCTAAGATCGAAGTAGAAAAATCGCCATCAGAAAAAGGTCCCCGCAATGTACTTAGGTTTTTGTAAGTGCTAGTTTTGAAGTAGCTGCTGTACTGTACGTAAAGATAAGTGCAAAAGCAAACACAAAAATTGTTCTCTGTACCTGGTATCACGTGCAGCTTAACCCATGGAAAATCATGACTGTAGTGGAATTGATATTACTATTTCGAGCTAATACATTTCACAATTGCAATCAAACGTTCGAAGTAACAGAGATGCGGAAGTGTATGTTCCAGATGTACGCGATCCCCTCAACAAAATAGTGATCGATCAACCATGCTTCGTTTTAAAACATAAGCGAAAGTTCAAATTCGGAGCTCGAAAGTCAAATATATATCGCATTTGATCTGTGAAGGGAGCTAAGCACTACAAGGCTCAAGTTACATCCCACACCTTTGTCGGTTAAGAACGAATGAGATAAATAAGTGAATAAACATCTGTCACAACAAAAAATATGAGTGATTCATGACTGATAACGAGAAACGGAGACGAGCCTACTCATCTCGCTGCGGCTCCTGCATCAAATCGGCGCCCATCATTACCAGCTGGAAACGGGCCCGCCTCAACTCAATACTGTGCAACTCCCTGGCTCTCTTCTCTTGATTAGCCAGATATTGAATCTCCTTTTCGAGTTTTTCGTTCTCGAGTTCCATTTTTCTGAGCTCTAGCTGCTGTCTTCGTCGCAAAAAGTCGCAATCGTCACTGATATCACGATCGCAGACGCTATAAGGGCATTATATGAATGCGTCATGCGAATAAATGCGGTCGTACCCACCATTCAATCGAATGTATCGCGCACCTGTTTGCTTCTGCTCTTCTTGGACGTTTGGCTGAACAGTGGTGAACTGCATCAGACTTGTCAATGGCATCAGATAAGGTCTGCGCTGAACTGTAAGCAGGTGTTTCAAATTCCGTTCAAGTGATGATAAAACGGAACTAAACAGCTGTGGAAATATCGTCGAAAACTTAGGGAAGATATGATTTTGAAAACACGAGAGGACAGGGTCGCTCAGGATCTTGGGGGCATCACAACAGAGGCAATGCTAGGACTAGACCCAGGAGAGGGGAGAAACTCCTGGAAGAACACATATTGCTCACGTCCTCGTCCGAATTCTTTCCCTGCCTAGAGCTTATGGTTAGTCCCAAGCACAGCAACTGGCTCACTAACTGGAATGTTTCCCTCCCGTGCCCCACCCCTCCCAGACATGAGCGAAGAGGACAGTGAGATTCATGAGCGATGAGATCTCAAAATTTGAAAAATTAAAAAAAAAAACAGTGCGGGCAATCCTAAAAGCATGAGGAATTTTGAAGGAAAAGTAAGAAAATAAGGTCTTAAAAGAAAGGAAAGACGAACCTGTCTGAATAGGTGTCACGATGGGGCAAAGACAGACACAAGCCGTCCTCTTCCTTCTTAAGGTTAGAACATAGGGAATAAGCACCATTAGAATCATAACAATCACCAGACTGATTTGATGAAGTCTGATCAGAAGAATATCTAGCCACTTGAGAATGTGAAGAAGCGTCATAACAATTGGACATTACTTCCGTTTCTACTGAGCACTCTGTCTCTCGCTTCATTTCAGGACTCTGAAAAGTGTTACCATGATATTGCCAAACAACCAAGTTCCACTTTTTTGTCGAATAACAACGAAAATGAATATTTCGAAAAAAACCTGAATAATTGGCGAGCATTCAAGGACAAAATTGTGAAGTACATGAAAATATACCTTGTTGACGAGATCGAGATCATCGTAAGCGGTATCAGGCAGTGGTTGCTCAATCGAGTCCTCTCCGAAAAACCGAGAGTGAGAGTTACTAATGATAGACAAAACGAGCCGATCCAAGTATCTGGGGGAAAATGTTATATGAAGGAACAGGGTATCAAACCGCACCACTTCTAAGCTCACCCCAATTTTTCTGATGACTTGTGATTATTATCGCAGCGAGACAAAGCATGACGTCGAACATACTGCCAATCATAGTCGCGCAAGCGTGTCCACGTTTTCCCTTAATGAGATTGCAAAACTAATGAGATGATACCAGAACACTAATAGGAACGTGTCCGGAAAACAAAAAGTTTTGAAAGGCTTTCAAGGAGCTCACCGGCGTATGATCTCAGACCCAATTCTTCCATTTCCTTGGCCACTTCCTTCCATGCTTTCTCTTTAGCTTTAGTGGAATGCTAAATAACCATGTTACGACGGTAGATTGGAAATAAGTGAAAAGAAATGACAAATAAAGAATGCAATATAACAACTCACGGCCACGCCATCTCCAAAAATCACATCCTGCCTTCGTTCGATGGCTCGAACAAATGCAATTTTTTCCTGCAGCTTCACTTCCCGTATTTCCGCAGACGAGGTTGCAAAAGACACTGTTGAGTCGGCAGCATCGGGTCTTGAAGTGGTCAATAGAATTCATAACAGTGTCACTGCTAAGCAACACCTGACAGTTTCAGCAGACCTGTGAAACGAAGTCTGCTCCCTCTCCATCAGATGACGTTTCCCACACGTTGATTCTAGAACACTCCGTATAACATAACTGTAACAAAATTATTACTCTATATAAACCCAATGAAGGCGAGACATTACACTATGTCGGACGGTACTGCTCACACCTTACACTGTTACTGAATTCCAGTCTCTTTTTCTAAACTGCAGTGGGAAAGGGCGCATTTAGGATATAAACTGTTAAACCTGTTTTCAAGTGGTCCTCTTGAACCGTGACTGCTCACAATGTATTCATACGCACAATCACTGATGTGTCTCACTATGTAAACCAATTAGCTATAAAACAGCACTATTTACTCTTTACTGCCCCACTCCTCAAAACTGATGCGGATTTTGACCGAAATCCGTCCAAGACTGAGGATTTGGCGACGTGCGACGGATTTGGCGTTGTTTTCGGTGGTACTTCGACCAGGAGAACACGATTATCCTTTGGCGCCGCTTCTGGCGCGAGCGCCAGGCGTTCTAGCGGTAAACAAATGTGATATTCGTGTTCTACGGGTCGAATTACCCCTGAAAGGCAAGTTTCTGGCCAAATTCACAGTCATGACCAATTTCGATAAAAATCCGGCTCAGTTCTCGAGGAGTGGGGCAGTAAAGGGTAAATAGTGCCCATTAACAACAATACATGGAGAAGTACCTCAGAAAATACTGCGTAAATATCCTTTATAGAAACGAAAAAACAATCAAATTGCATAAGTGACCAACCTATGACACCCTACCGTACAGTGGTTGGGTATTTGCCGCGCCTGGTTACCATGATGCATCTACGAACCGGAAGAAAAGCTGTGACAGGAAATGAGCAATCGTCTCGCTGTTCATCGTCAGAGCAGTGAATTAAGAAGCTGGTCCAAAACCGTGGCTCACGGTAAATGCAACAGTGCAAGGCAAACGAATACGGAAACTCGGGAGCTCAACAATTTTCTACGTGCTAATAAAACGAAAACACCACCTCGTACTCAATTCATTAGCAAGTCCAAGTTCTAGTCACACTAAGTTTGTTGGGTCGTACCCATTCTTTGATTTCAGGTTTCTACAAGTATTGATCGGCAAGAGATTCCATAGAATCATTCATAGCGATTGAGGCAATGTTATTACAGCAGTCATTAGGAATAGACATTGATATAGCAAAAGAGACAGCGATCTTACAAGATATGACAGGGAGCGATAGCAGGTGGCGACAGAGATAAGAAGTGCAGAGGCATGGGTTGAGAACAGCGAATATGACTAATTGTAAGAAGTGATGATGGAATTGTGGTGTAAAACTGAGCATATGTGATACATGTATATCTGATTGAGGATAATGAAGACTTTATGGGAAACTGAATGGAAATGGGGGTAATGAATGTTGCGCCAGCTGCGAAAAAGCAGAGAAATCCGTGACAAACATGCGAATTAAGATCCTCATATGATCCGTTGATTGAGTATTCGCGACTCAATAAGTGCTGTTTGGGTGAGGTACGGCCATTTGATACAAGGTGAGCTTTTACAATGAAAATGCGATATTCATAGCGGTATTGCACAAGCCCGCATCTGAGCAGAGCGATCTGAAGCGAAATTTGGGGTGTGACTTCGTTACAACTAGTGCACAATCATCCGCGAGAACGGTACCGCTCGCCTCTGTGGTCTACATATCTACCGCATCAAGTAACGCTTATACTTCCTCGATACAACTACTATTATCGTACCGACTGCTTTTGAAGAACAACATGAAAGCCACAGAAGACGAAAAGTGTCAATAAAATAAGTGATGTGCGAAAAGATCAAAATTTCTAATAAAGCGCTCGTACCACAAACTGATGCTTTTATGAAACACTGTCTTATAGGCGATAGTTTCATGACAGTTTGAACCGCTTCGTGAAATGAGCAGCCAACAGAAGTAATCAGAAAATGGCGAAGACTGGAAAGACGAATCAGATAAGATAAGAAGATAAGAAGCTTCCACGACCACTTTTGTTCCATAAAAATGGATGACTAATATCAAAGAGGGAAACAGTATTCAGATCCGTCAGAGCGTAGTCAGAG